TTGCCTCGTGAACAAAGTTCAATATTAGATTCAAAATTTGATATCAGGCAATGAAACATGCTCGGGGGAATAGTTCAATTCTTCACCTTCCAAGGAAGAATTATTGGTACCAATGACAGAGCCACATCAGCACAATCTTCTGATAGCAAGACTGGGCATGTTAATGCAACAAGGTGTAGAGCTGGATGAACACAGCAGGCCAAGCAGCATCATAGGAGCAGGAAAGCTGACGTTTCGGGTCTATACCCTTCTTCAGAAATGGGGGAGGGGAAGGGGATTCTGAAATAAATAGGGAGAGAGGGGGAGACGGATAGAAGATGGATAGAGGAGAAGATAGGTGGAGAGGAGACAGACAGGTCAAAGAGGTAGAGATGGAGCCAGTAAAGGTGAGTGTAGGTGGGGAGTTAGGGAGAGGATAGGTCGGTCCAAGGAGGACGGACAGGTCAAGGAGGCGGGATGAGGCGCGTCGGTAGGAGATGGGGGTGGGGCTTGAGGTTGGAGGAGTGCATAGGTGGGAGGACAGGTTAGGGAAGCGGGTATGAGCTGGACTGGTTTTGGGATGCGGTTGGGGGAGGGGAGCTTTTGAAGCTTGTGAAGTCCACATTTCCATTGGGCTGCAGGTTTCCCAAGCAAAATATGAGATGCTGTTCCTGCAACCTTCGGGTGGCATTGTTGTGGCACTGCAGGAGGCCCAGAATGGGCATGTCATCCAAGGAGTGGGAGGGGGAGTTGAAATGGTTCACGACTGGGAGGTGCAGTTGTTTGGTGCGAACCGAGTGTAGGTGTTCCACAAAGCGGTCCCAAAGCCTCCACTTGGTTTCCCTGATGTAGAGGAGGCCACAACGGGAACAGCGGATACAGTATACCACATTAGCAGATGTGCAGGTGAACATCTGTTTGATGTGGAAGGTCTTCTTAGGGCCTGGAATGGGGGTGAGGGGGGAGGTGTAGGGGCAGGTGTAGCACTTCCTGCGGTTGCAGGGAATAGTGCCGAGGGTGGTGGGGCTGGAGGGGAGTGTGGAGCAGACAAGCGAGTCACGGAGAGAGTGGTCCCTCCAGAAAGCAGATAAGGGTGGGGAGGGAAAAATGTCTTTGGTATTGGGGTCGGATTGCAGATGGCGGAAGTGTCGGAGGATGATGCGTTGGATCCGGAGGTTGGTGGGGTGGTACGTGAGGACGAGGGGGATTCTGTTTTGGTTATTATTGCAGGGAGGGGATGTGAGGGATGAGTTGCGGGAAATGCGATAGACACGGTCGAGGGTGTTTTCGACCACTGTGGAGGAGACGTTGCGGTCCTTGAAAAACGAGGACATTTGGGATGTCTGAGAGTGGAATGCCTCATCTTGGGAGCAGATGCAACGGAGGCGAAGGAATTGGGAATCGGGGATGGCCTTTTTGCAGGAAGGTGGGCGAGAGGAGGTGTACTCTCGGTAGCTGTGGGAGTTGGTAGCCTTGAAATGGATATCGGTTTCCAGGTGGTTGCCAGAGATGGAAATAGAGAGGTCCAGGAAGGGGACAGAGGTATCCGAGATGGTCCAGGTGAACTTAAGGTTGGGGTGGAAGGTGTTAGTGAATTGGATGAACTGTTCGAGCTCCTCGTGGGAGCACGAGGCGGCGCCAATACAGTCATCAATGTAACGGAGGAAGAGGTGGGGGATAGGGCCAGTGTAGCTTTGGAAGAGGGATTGTTCCACGTAACCTACAAAGAGGCAGGCACAGCTTGGGCCCATGCGGGTACCCATGGCCACCCCCTTTGTCTGCAGGACGTGGGAGGAATTGAAAGAGAAGTTGTTGAGGGTGAGGATGAGTTCGGCTGAGCGGATGAGGGTGTCAGTGGAGGGGGACTGGTCGGGCCTGCTGGACAGGAAGAAGCGGAGGGCCTTTAGGCCATCTGTATGGGGAATGCAGGTGTATAGGGACTGGGCGTCCATGGTAAAGATGAGGTGTTGGGGACCAGGGAATCGGAAGTTTTGGAGGAGGTGGAGGGCGTAGGTGGTGTCACGGACGTAGGTGGGGAGTTCCTGAACCAAGGAGGAGAAAATGGAGTCGAGATAAGTGGAGAGGAGTTCGGTGGGGCAGGAGCAGGCGGAGACAATGGGTCAACCAGGGCAGTCAGGTTTATGGATAATGTGGACTTCGCAAGCTTCAAAATCTCCCCTCCCCCGACCGCATCCCAAAAGCAACTCAGCTCGTACCCGCCTCCCTAACCTGTCCTCCCACCTATCCACACCTCCCACCTCAAGCCCAACCCCCATCTCCTACCTACTAGCCTCATCCCGCCTCTTTGACCTGTCCGTCCTCCTTGCACTGACCTATCCCCTCCTTAACTCCCCACCTACACTCACCTTTACTGGCTCCATCCCCACCTCTTTGACCTGTCTGTCTCCTCTCCACCTATCTTCTCCTTTATCCATCTTCTATCCGCCTCCCCCTCTCTCCCTATTTATTTCAGAATCCCCTTCCCCTCCCCCATTTCTGAAGAAGGGTCTAGACCCAAAACGTTAGCTTTCCTGCTCCTCTGATGCTGCTTGGCCTGCTGTGTTCATCCAGCTCTACACCTTGTTATCTCAGATTCTCCAGCATCGGCAGTTCCTCCTGGGCATGTTAATGCATTTGGTTTACCTGTAAGACAACTCTGAATCTAAAAGTTGAAGTAAAGAGTTTAGATCCTTCAACATAGATATACCAGCTGATTGAGAATAAGGATTTGTTTATACAGATTGAAGATAAACTTTTTATAACTCCATTCATGTTAACACCAACATACAACAACCAAAATCCTTAGATTCAGGATGCAGAATTGAAGAGGTCACCTGTTCCAGGAATCCAGGATACTGCAAAAAAGATATCCATTGCAACAGAGCAGTTGTCTTCCGTGTGGGACGTTAGTGAGATTAATTGATTGCCTGGATGATAAAATGGGACAATTATCTGATTCAGCACAGAAGAGTTCCTTTTAAGGAATTACCGAGATTAAGATGCCTCCAGATAAGGTAATGGCCTGAGTACGTGGTTTAGCAGGAACTGTCCCCAGTGAAGGGCATCCAAGAGATAATGTGCTCCAAAGTACAGAAACTTTATTTATCAAACTGTTTCAAGAACAGTATCAAGGGTCAACAATCCTTAAGCCACAAGAAGTATCAAATTTGCAAGTCCAAAGAGAATGAGTGATGAAAGGATTAGAATTGAAGAATGGATCTTATCAGGCAATAACGAATTGTCTAGGTGTTACACCCAATGAGAGGTCATGAGAAAATTAAGATTTTCTTCACAATTTGTAAAATAACAGAGAAAACAAAAAAAATTGGTGAAGGTTTTGTCTCTACTCAGAGGATAATTGGAAATTTTTTTCACCCCCCCATACAATTCACAACTTGGAGGTAAATTTGGGTTGGGTTTTGTAAGATGGAAGAATAGGGAGAAACGGGGATGGGGGTGGAAAACGTTGGAGGGGTGTTGTGGAAACGGGGAGGTGGGGATGACATGTCAGGAACTTGGAAAAAAAATGCCATTGGACTGGTACCCGTTGTATTTGCACTTCCTTCTGTATTTTCCAGGATAGGTTAGTCAGGAAATCATGAAGACAGTTAAAAGCTAGAAGATCATTAAGAGGGATATTTGGAGTGAAATCCTTCTTTCCCAACAGAAGAGCAGTCATCTCCTACTCACCTGATTTCAGAAGGTAAGAGTTCAGCAGAAACAATAGCCTCTGTGAAGCTGAAGCTGTGTTAATCTTTTGCATTGAAAATTCAGACATGTCCAAGTGAAAGGTTATTCAGGAAAGTACTATTTCAGTCATGTGAATGATTGACAATTGTTTGGAAAATATTTAATCTGACCAGCACTTCACCTAACCTCAATTGTAATTCTGGTGGCAGCCTTAAGAGTTTTGTAGGAGCAGCTTCAATTCCACTGTCTGTCTCTGCTGAGGACCTAAGGCGTCAGGTTTTCTACCACAGCATACTCCTGCTGTAGCTCCCACAGCACCAGCTGCCTTTTCTGTAACTCTATGTCTTCCACATGCAGAGGGAACGGCCATTGAGGTACATGTGAAAACAGGCAGGGCCACCACAAAGAGTCAACTGGCAGAGGACTAGTCACACTGGCAACGTGAGCACTAGTGTCACAGGCCACCAGGTCAGGTCACACATCTCCTCAAATTGGTCCTATGACTGAAGCCTTTTTTAAAAAAATAAAACTACATCTAGTTAGCCGCTCTGAAGGAAACCTTGATATTGCTAAGCAAAAAAAAACCTTCCTCTGATAAAATAGCCATACCATATTACTCATCGCCCCTAATTAATCGGAAGGAACTCTGAGGCAGGGTACTAATTGGTTTACTCCTGCAAACTGGGTACCTTGTACTACAATAATCAAGTTCAGTAAATTGAAAATGGCCTTGACATCTTGAAAAAACAACTAGGGCTGCAAGATTCTATTCAGTAAATGTGAGGACTTGATTGAACATTAAAGGCTTTTAAGTCACAAGCTATACCTGGTGTTAAATTTGAATTCTCTTACACTCTCTCCTCATAAACTTCGCAAACACTATTAGTCTTGTTGATAGCAATCAATTCAGATGCTGTATACCACCAAAGTCAATAACTCTACCAGAATCAAATGCTCCAAAAAATGCTTATTGACAGTTGAAGTGAAAAATACGTTTAAAAAAAAGACTTAAATTGCACACTTTTCTAACATCTCGAACTTAGAATGGGTATTACAACGCATTTTCACCCTGCTGAATCACAGATAGAACATTAAGTGGTCTACACAAATAGCGAAACAAGCCAGTAACAAAGCACAATAAATACGCTTAACGGACTTTGTACATAAATTATTCAATTGGAATCACAGTGATGTACTAGTGCTGGTTAATAGATGGAGTAAAATATGTCATGGGTCATTTGATGATGGGGAAAAGATCCATTCAGTTGTGTGTAAGAGCATTTCTGGATATATTTAAAAAAAACAACAAAATGATGAAAGTAGAAATTTACTTTTGTTATCCCAAGGACCCCAATATTTGGGCTGGAGGATGTAGAGCCATTTCCTGTTCCAAGTAATCCTGCAATGATACAAGATATTCCTTCAGTGAAGATCCCTCTGGAAGTCAAAAGGAGCATGCAAGGTTACAGTCAGTTTTGTCCATACATAGAGGTAGAATTAAAACTTTATAATACATTAAGAGAAAAGCATTTGGAAACCTATTGAACACTTTTGAAGCTCAGGTTACATCAAATGTCACAAACAAATCTACCTTCTATTCTGGTAAATAATTTTTAGTATTGGGAAGAATTACATTCCCTCCTACCCAGCCCCTCCCTCAGCAACTAGGATCATTCAACACTCTCCTCCCTCAGTATTCAGGGACCATCAACATCCTCAGTGGCAATGGGTAGAAGCTACAGTACCTCCTTGGAAAGGAATGTCTGTAGACCTGAAACTGCTGGCATTCTCAAAATTAGCTCCATAGTGGTCCAACACCATATGCGTGCTTTGGCTTCAGAGACAGCGGCAAACATGCAAGGTAATCACTGGGATTTGTCTTGTTCAAATGCAGACACTAACATAATTTGTGTTCCCTCATGAGAGCAAAGCCTGGACCAGTGCCATTTATTACTGCTCTCCCATGGAGAACATTTGGCTGGAGTCAAGTCAGTAACTCTATTGCAGACAGTGATGCCTGAATATGGTCACAAGATGGCAGGAATGTTGCATCTCTTGCTCATTTGCCAGCATGGTCTCCTCAATCAAGAGGTTGACAATACCAACACCTTACCCCAAATTCTACACAGCACTAGTGGGACAATGCAGACTGCTGATATGATGCAGCTATGATAACAGGGGACTTCTATCATTGCAATGGCACAATTGCAATTATGGTCTATTTAAACACTGTTTAGCATATGACACTTAATGTCATTACTGAGCTACAGCATGGGGTGAGATAAAGAATTTTTTTGGGTGGCAGCACAGTGGCACAGTGGTTAGCACTGCTGCCTCACTGCGCCAGGGACCCAGGTTCAATTCCATCCTCAGGCGACTGTCTGTGTGGAGTTTGCACATTCTCCCTGTGTCTGCGTGGGTTTCCTCCAGGTGCTCTGGTTTCCTCCCACAGTCCAAAGATGTGCAGGTTAGGTGGATTGGCCATGCTAAATTGCCCGTAGTGTTCAGGGAGGTGTAGATTAGGTGTTTATAGGGGGATGGGTCTGGGTGGGATGCTCCGAGGTTTGGTGTGGATTTGTTGGGCCGAAGGGCCTGTTCCCACACTGTAGGGATTCTATGATTCTATGAGCTTCAGAACAATGTGGGGAATGGCAAGACTTGAGAGAATTTATTAACAATGGAAAAATAAGAACATAAGAACTAGGAGCAGGAGTAGGCTGTCTGGCCCTTCGAGCCTGCTCCGCCATTCAATAAGATCATGGCTGATCTTTTCATGGACTCAGATCCACTTACCCGCGTTCTCACTGTAACCCTTAATTCCTCTATTGTTCAAAAAAAAACTACCTTTTCTTTAAAAATGTTTACTGAAGTAGCATCAACTACTTCACTGGGCAAGGAATTCCATAGATTAACAACCCTCTGGGTGAAGAAATTCCTTCTCAATTCAGTCCTAAATCTGCTCCCTCTAATCTTGAGGCTATGCCCTCTTGTCCTAGCTTCACCTGCCAGTGGAAACATCGTCTCTACTTCTATCTTATCTATTCCCTTCATAATTTTATATGTTTCTATAAGTTCCCCCCTCAATCTCAATCTCAATCTTCTGAATTCCAAAGATCCCCCCTCAATCTTCTGAATAAGTTTCTTGAATTAGAGGAAAATGGTGGAATTATCCATGATATAACAGGTGTAGAGCTGGATGAACACAGCAGGCCAAGCAGCATCAGAGGAGCAGGAAAGCTGACATTTCGGGCCTTGACCCTTCTTCGGAAATTATCCATGTAAGGTTTCAAAGGCCAGAGAAAAATCTCATTCTTGAGCAGCAAGGAGCCTATTTGCATACATTAACACCTCATTTGTACCTAATCTCACCTCATTTATATGTAGTTCTTATATCCCTAGGTAACAGAGAGAAACTAGACAGCACCAATTCCTGACGTGAAAGTCAGAACAGTTACCTGACGGCTGCAGTTTACTGGTATCTCTCTGGGTCATCATTTTGGCCAGCATTCCCCAAAATCTCAGGGTATGCTTCATGGGCAGTGATTACCTGCACCCTCTGCCGGATGTTGGCATTGGCAAAGCACAAGCCTAATGCCACCGTCATGGCACATATAGGGATGATCTTATATTATTGTTCTGCATTTTACTACTGCACTTGGAGCTCCCTGCTTCTTACATTGCAATCCTTCAGCTAGAAGGCTTTGCATTCAAGGACAGGCATCTACCTCATGCTTCAGAACCAGTTCATCTCAGGCCTCTTGGCTTACTTTCTTAACACTCACTGTGCATTTATTTGGATGCTCATACATATTTCTGCCTTGCCTTTTGGCACATTATCACTTCATTCAGAACCTACAGGCTCACACAGTTCCATCTTTCATTGAATTTTAACACACAGTCAGAAAGCCAAGTAAATTCTCATGCTTGCCAACAATGATCACCAAAAGCAGCAGGCATGTTGCTAATTGGCACCATGCTACATCAATCTTCCACCTATGGCTTATGCCAACAAATAATGTGCCAAATGCACCACCTGTGCTTGGACAGATGAGTTACAGTCAGTCCAGGGAGTCTGTGCACTGAAAATCAACAAAGGCTATCAGGGGCCTCTGATGTTGGTGGCCAAGTTGGGAAGTCAGTTTTGGGTAGCATGCTGGGATAGAGATAGGTAAACCACTGTGTAGGAGACCAAATCAATATATAAAGATGGGACATGATAGAGAATGGGTGGTCATGAGGTACTGCGTGGGTGGGCCATTAATGGTTACTACATCCTGGCTTCAATGGCGAGGGGAATGGAGCAACAGAGGGACGCAGCACAACACAATGTTGGGTATTACTGAACTGTAGGCTTGTACTGAGGGGATAACATGGGGAGGTGAACAGTTAAACAAAAAAAATAAGTTGCCTGGCAACATACAGAAGCTCAAACCTGATGGGGTTGACAGGGAATGTAAGAAAAAAAGGCTGAGGATGAATGTTGATGAGGGTTGGTGTGAAGAGATGTGACGTCACCTAGATTAACAAGCCTGCAACTCTACCTCTGGAGCTGTGATGTCTTCCATTTTTATTTGAATCACAAATATGTCATGAAAGTGAAACATGGTTGCTGGTACACCCAGAGTGGGCAGACTTTTTTCCTGTCTGCAGGAGCAGGATCAACTTGTGTGTGAAGTGAGGCCCATCACGTAGCAATTGCTTTAATCAGGCACTTTTGCAGTCTGGGTAAAAGACATTTGGATTCACACAATACTGTATGTTTACCTTATGCAGTGACCAAATATGTCATTTACAAATCCTGTGCACAAGCAGTCCAGATCATGGAAAAAGCATAAGAATATGGATGCTGGAAATCAGAAATGAAAACAAAAATGCGAAAAAAACTCAACAGGTCTGACAGTACCTGTGGAGAGAGAAACAGAGTTAATATTTTGAGCTCGCTATGACTCCTGTGGAAAATAAAGACAGTCATTTCAGGCTCAAAAATTTAACTCTTTCCTTCCTCACAGATGCTGCCAAACCAGCTGGGCTTCTCCAGCACTTTCCATTTCTAATCTAGCCCATGACATTGATCATTACAGATTTAATCCTAATAATTTCTACAAAGCAGAAAATGTCATGGGCAACCAACAGTCTGTAATTCACAAACAACAAGGTCTCGTAGGCTGCCCAAGGTCCCAGAGCTGCTTTCCAAATACATTGAAGGGTAAGTATTTCACAGCGCGCTCTTAAATGGAATGCTGCCTTTCTTAAGAGAGGTCGAAGTGAGTTAAGAAGATGTCATCATCAAGTTCAGTTGGAGTAATCTCCTACTGTATGTCCATAATACAGTTTTGTCAGGGACGTTGCAAAAATGCACCTGACACAAGGAGTTCTTGACTTTTGGAAGAGGTAAGCAGCCTTAGTGTGGGTAGAGTGGTAAGTGGTGAATCTGTTTGGCAATTGGTTCAATGCTAAAAGGCCAGCTAAAGCAAGTGAGGCTAAGTGCTTCCACAGCCTCACTTGCACTGATATCTTGATGCCATCCAAATGACTCCTCACATCTAACAGAATAGTACAGCTCCTCATTGGCTCTCTCTTTGTCTGAGAATACCTCATAAATCAATCTGCCTTCAGCAGCCAGAGCTGATGTTCTCTACAGCATCAGGTTATGTAGAGCACAGTAGACCACTGCTTTCTGGAAGATCCTTACAGTGATATGCTGATGTAATTTATCAAATTGATCCAGGCCAAAATATTAATTTGGGGAGACTTACTGTCTGCTCAGTGGTCATTCTGGTTGCAGAATGGTTCAGATTATAGCATTCCTCCTGCTTCCATCCTTAGGTTCCTCACTGATATCAGAAGTCATCACTTCAGTGACTCCCTCATCAACAAGTGGCCATCCTTAATGATAGGTATGGAACGCAAGGCTGCCACAGAAATATGAGAATGCAAGCACTGTGTCTGTGAGATAAGAGCACAAAACTGCAGGATCCACTGACAGAGGTCACGGACCAGTTACACTGAGAGGGAATGAAATCTTTTCCTGGTCTGTGGACAGTCTAGGTGGTCACATGAGTGGTCTGAGATGGTGTACTTAAGAGACTTGAATGGATCAAGTCTTCTAGTTGTCCTTGTTTGACTGTCCACAACTGTTCAGAAACCTAGGTATTAACAGATGATCCCAAGAGCATCTTCACGCAGTAATATGTGGTAGATTTGGAGATGCAATGCATATCTTCCATGGGCTCCTGGAATGACCCAGAAGTGTAAAATCTCACTGCCACTGTGACCTGAGAAACACTGTCATCAGATGATCACCAATACTTCCAAAGCTCGTCTATTCCATCATCAAGATGAGCAACTCAGGCATGGTCTCTTGGGAGGCACAAACATGCGCAAATCTACTGCCATGATCTCTACAGATTACTCATCCTTTGTTTACGTGCCATAATACAGTCCACCTTCAGCTCCATGTTAGCCCACGGTCATGGCCCCCAAAATTGTTTCTGCATTTTCCCCTTCAAAAGACTACCCCTGTAAGGGGCCAAGTGGTTGTTGATGTCCAGATCTGAGTGGTCACATTCCCTACACTCGCTCCTGCTGCTCCTCCTCATTAGAAGACCCTCTTACAGAACGTGCAGGATATTTCTTAGACACTGTTGTTTTGACTGGAACAATCTTTCAGTCACTGTTGAAACAGTGCCCATCTCACCCACCTTTCAGGGTTCTCTCTAGTGGATCTCTACCAGAAGTACAATATACCACTGTGGCTCAGTGGTTAGCACTGTTACCTCACAGCACCAAGGACCCGGGTTTGATCCCACCATCAGGTGCAGAGTTTTCACGTTTGTCCCATGTCTGCATGGGTTTCCTCCCACAGTCCAAAAATGTGCAGATTTAGGTGGATTAGCCATGGGAAATGCAGGGTTACAGAGATGGGATAGGGGAATGGGTCTGGGTGGAATGGTCTTAGGAGGGTCACTGTGGACCTGACAGGCTGAATGGCCTGCTTCCTGATTCTATGAGTGTGGAGGCAATACACTCAAAATAAATGGCTGTCCAAAGGAGAATGCAGTTGATGGGGTTTACATGAAATTTAGCGAGGCCTTTGACAAGTTCATATACAGAAGGCTAGTCCAAAAGGTGAAAGCCCATGGGATCCAAGACAAGTTGGCAAACTGGATCCAGAATTGGCTTACAAACAAACAGGAAGCAAAAGATAATGGTGGAGGGTTGTTTTTGTGATTGAAAGCTTGTGACCAGCAGTGTACCACAGGAATCAGTGCTGAGTCCCACGCTGTTTGTTAACAACTTGGATGTGAATGTGAATGGTATAATTAGGAAGTTTGCAGATGACACAAAAATTGATGGTGTTGTTGATAGAGAGGAGGATGGTCTCAAGCTACAGTCTGATATCAATCAATCAGCCAGTAAACTGGGGACAGCAATGGCATATGGAATTTAATCCTCAAGTGTGAGGTGATTCATTTTGGGAGGTCTAATAAGTGAGGGATTTACAAAATGAATGGTACATCCCTAGGGAGTACTGTGGAAGAAAGGGATCTTGGTGTATAAATCCATTTATCCCTGAAGGTGTCAGTACAAATAAATAGGATGGTGAAGAAGTATACGGGATACTTGCCTTCATTAGCCAAGGTATAGAATGTAGGAGCAGGGAAGTTTTGTTGCATCTTTATGGAGCATTGGTTAGGCTATAAATAGAATACTGTGTGCAATTCAAATCAACATACAATCAGAATGATGTGATTGCACTAGAGAGGGTGCAGAGAACATTCACCAGAATGGGATGGAAAGCCTCATTTAGGAGGAAAGACTGTATAGACTGGGATAACAAGGTGTAGAGCTGGATGAACACAGCAGGTCAGGCATCATCAGAGGAGCATCCTATTCCTCTGAGGCTGCCTGACCTGCTGTGTTCATCCAGCTCTACACCATGTAATCTCAGACTCCAGCATCGGCAGTTCCTACTATCACTGTATAGACTGGAATTGTTTTCCCTGGAACAGAGAAGGCCGTGGGGAGGATCTGATTAAGATCCACAAAATTATGAGAAGCGAAGATTGAGAGAATATTTTTCCACAGCAGACATGTCTAAGACCAGAGGCCATAACTTTAAGGTGAGGAATGAATGGTTTCAAAGGAATCTGAAGAAAAATATTTTTCATCCAGAATGTGGTAGAAATATGGAATGCACTGCCTGAAAGAGAGTGGTGGAGGAAGGTACTCTTGAAACTTTTAAGAACCATCTGGATGAGTAGTTAAAAAGCCACAGCATCTTAGGCTATGGGCCAAATACAGGTAAATGCAATTAGTAGAGTTTGGAGTTTATTGGTCAGCATGGACATGGTGGGTCAAATGGCCTGTTTCTATGCTTGGTGACTCTATGACTCAATTCAAGAAAACAACCTTCATCGCATAGCTGCCAAGTGCAGTAATACAACAGCTGTCATCCCATTGCCTCCAGTCAGAAGTGGTGAGGCCTGAATGGCCCCTGATCCCCACGAGCTCATCACTAAGTCTGGAGGGACTGGACATATTCCTTTCTATTGCCTTACTGACAAGCTTATATACCATTCAATTGCTCATTCTCAAAAGTGTTAGCAGTATCCCAAAGAATTCAAGCCCATTGTGAAGATGCTGAGAGAACAATCAATGTCCCTCCTGTGCAACGTATTTCCTCCCTTCACCTCTACCCAGTTGCCACCCTTTGCTCCAGTGGAAAATCTCAGCTGCTTGACTCCTGGTGTTGAGAATGTTTTAGTTGACGAGGATACATCCATGTAGGAAACAGATCAATATTTTACTTTTTATGGTTAATAATTTAACTCAATTTTATGAGAAACAAATGAGTACAAATGCATCTGTTCTCAGACTATATTATGAAAAAGGAAAGTTTACCTGTTTAAAGCATGGATTGGTGGAGGTGGAGCCCCAGCCAACCTTGCGCAGGCATAATAATCACCAATAGATTCAATGATACCAGCGAGTGTTGCACTAAACATTCCCAGGACTCCAGCTGCTGTGATTGTTGGTAAACCCCACTGACCTGCAAAGATCAAAAAGTCTCCAGAAGTGAATGTATAAAAAAGAGAATGCGCACCATAAACAAAAATACCACATTCTTAAAAAAGATTTTGCAGTGTATGTTCCTGGAGTTTAATTTCAAAAACTACATATTTTACTTTAAACACATTAATAACCAACTCCAACATAATGAACAAACCAAACAGATCTTGCTTCCCATACAATATTATTTGACCTTTCCTATTAAAATATGAAGTGGGCTTTAAAAAAGTACACTCATATTCAATGTGGACTTCAAGGGAATATGAGGTAAAAACATTAATTTTTCTATGGCTCATCACACAAGCTAGTTTTACCTCAAGAGTCCTGCACTAAAAAAAACATTTACAGTTACAGTGCATATACTTTTTAAAAATCTGCACATTATATCATATTTTACAAAAAAACATTTCTATTTCCTAACACTTACATGGATATGGCATGCGAAACCAGGGTGCTGTTGACATTATTTCACCTCTGGCATCTGTTCGGGCTTTGAATCCATACAGCTCAGGATTTTTTGGAAATACATCAGTGAGCGTTAAAAGATAGCAAATGAGCCAGACAACCATAATAGCCATTATAATCTAGAAAAGAAAGTAAAGACAATTACAGCAGGTGAACACTTTTATTCTGGATTTATGATCCCAAAATCAAGGCATGATTATTGCTAGATTCAGAGTCTTTTTCTCAATGCATTGTCCATGAGTTGAATGGAATATTCCCAAATGTTCAGGTCTTACACTGACTTCTGAACACAATCACTTTGCATTAAAATAGTGATTTATTTTGTTTTTGCAACTTCTTTTGCTGCAATAACATGCAATTTTTTTTTGGTAAATCTCAACTTTCCTTGTTGCTTACAGCTTTTGACATCCAGCAAAGAGATAAGTTTGTAAAACAATATTTAAACACTAAAGCGTTTTAGTCACTTTCTCTGAAATCTCAAATATATTAAAATTCTTACCTTGAAAGAAACCAATCAGTGATTTTGGCAAATAGATTGTGCACAAGCTGAAAATTTACTTGGTTCAAAACACAATGTAAAATTCATGATGTTTTGCATTTAATTAATACCAATGAAGCAGAATTTGCTCTAGCTGGGAAACAAATAGCACCATTACTTTGACCTTTGGCCATTCTATTTTCTACAAAATTTTACATCGGAAGAAAAGAATTGAACAAGCACAGCACCTTCACAGAACATTGGAGACCTCTGTAAAAAGCGACAGCAATTGTGCATCCCTTTTATCAAACTGAAATATTGTTAAATGAACACAGTGTCTGAACTAGGAAGCATAAGTTTGCAATCACTATTTCATTTTCTGTGTGTGATTTGAAAGAACAGAGGGAGAAAGAAAAAATGGATTCAGAAGAGAAAACAAAGAAATAAAAAACATAAATTTTAAAACCTTAACCACTACTAACAGCTGAGGGAATGAGACTCCACATTGTGACAGAAAGATTTATTTATGCAGTTATTAAATAAGACTTTGAGATACTATTAAAAAGGGTACGTAAACAGAAATCAAGTTTTTCATTTTTTGTGGTTAGTTTTGTTGATATGCATCATGCAAGCACAGGAACCTGATGCACTTAAAAATGTCTTAGACATTGAGATGCCATTTTGAGAGATGGTTAAGTTATTAATATTGAACAACAACTTCAAGAACTTTGTTTTCGCTCATTGGGTAGCATGTGTATAATTTGTACATAAATAATAGGGCTCACCGTCAGCCTCATGTATGATAGATTCTTTTGAAATGATTAATAGACAATCTGAATTCAACTGAGCTGGGCCTTGCTTGTAGTGATGGAAAATTCAATACGGAGGCATCTTAACTTTTAAATGAGGCTACACCATTTGTGGGCCGTGACACTGATGTTTTATGAGATCTGGCTGACAACAATCATGGTGAAACCATGGCTCAGAGTGACCAGAATCTTCTACAAGACAGGAAGGCACTGCTGGGGTAGCTGGGGAACCAAGAGGGTTCCTCAAGATTAAGACATCCTCTAAAGACTTCTAAATGTTTAAAAATAGTGGCCATAACTGCCAGACTGCCACTGTGGAGGAGGCAATTAATTAATTAAACCAATTAAGAGCCGTTTTCAGAAGCAGCAGTGAAATGGTCACGAGCTGAATCAGGAGAATGGCAGTACCTTACAGTCACCCTCCAAGAGGCATGTTGAAGGGCAATTTGGTGCAACCTCTCAATTGCACAACAAATGAGATACAATTATGAAAAAGCTCACAACCATGAGCAAAACTATGTGTGGATTTTTCCTCTACTGTTTGGCCCAACAATAATGCATCTCCTTTAAGGCTAAATTTTCAGCACACTCAAAACATTTATGCATTGAGGAACCCTTGAGCTTGTCATTCTGCCTTAGTAGCAGTTTGTTCTCCTAGTGAAGCTGCATTTGGTGTTTTACTTTGGGAACACATCCAAAATCCTAATCTGAATGGTGGACAGAGTAGCAACCCCTCGGATCACCATTTGTAGATCAATACCAGAATGAAATGAGTTCTGCATGGTGAACGTAACCTCCTACAAAGGAAAAAAGTGATTCTTAGATCAAAAAATAATGGTTACCTATAAATATAGGGTTCTAATTTGTTACTCGCAGTAAACTAGAAAGTATCCTTAAAAAAATGTATTCTTTACTAGGCTCCTGCCATGACACCTTGGGCTCTCATGCAATAACCTTAAGTACTCCCTGTGGCACAATTATGTTTGATATGGGAAAAGTCTTACTTTACAGGTTTAGGAGACATGGGGAAGCATCTAAGCAGGGTTCCAAAATCTGAATGCTAATGGTCAATGCTGAATCATTTGTTTATACACACATTCAAAAACAAAATTGCTTTGGTGTTGTAAAATGGTATACTGATATTTGCTGCTTGAATATGAATGTGTGGGATGAGCTATTGAAGAGTTAATGCTTGCAAAATTGTCTGAGCTCATCATACCGTCGAGGAAGCAGTTTTTAGGATTGATAGAGATACGCTCATGTGTTCTGCATTAGCTTGGCATTATCTTGATATAAAAACATACCGTAGGACACAGCTTTTAATAACAGCAACTGCATAAAACAGTTGTCAATCGATCAGTCATATGCTTCACCACATTTCTTTCCAAAGTTAATTGAAAAGAAAAGATAGATGGGTGTTTTACAAACAGTTAGTCAGCCTCTTGGAGCTTACAATACCGAAGACGATATTTCTTCCTATATTGCAAAATGCATGTAAAATTAACATCGAAATCAATTATACTGGTATCAAGAATGCAATCAGAAAAACATCAACTTGTGCATGACATTCTACAGCAACTGAAACAGATCTATTCTCCTGATATTTGAGTTTCACCATAGCAAATAGAACAAATTGTGACTAAAGCATCTCTTAAGACTTTGTATAGAGGGACAATAAACAACGTCTGGTCACATTTCAGTCCAAATGCCTTTGTAAACACAGGTGTAATTAATCATGTTGGTTTTGGAACGCCTGTTGGAGATCTATTTACATAAAACCTTTACAGGGAGTTTCTATTAAAATTGATTCTGAATATATTCAATAGAAGTTAATAATCTTAAAAATTGTATTTGGGTAATTTAGCAGTTCATTTAAATCTATTACCTTATAGTTTTCAATTATCTAAATTTTATTTTCCAATGTTAAGCTTGTGACAAGCTCCAATTGGTATATTCCTAAGACTAAAAAGAATTCATAGTGATTCTTAATAGGTTTTCTTCTTAAGTGCTGGTTTCACATGTAAGCTGCCATCCAAGTCCACCTGAGCAGCAGTCTTAACACCTCCACAATTTGGTAAATTATCAGACTGCTTATATATTTGATATCCAGTCCTGGATGAGCAAACCTTTCTACATTTAAATAATAGAAACACTGAAGATAGTTTTTGTTTGTTCTTTCCTCTATTCAATTCTATACCTCTCTCTGGCTTAATATCAAACTGTTGCCAATCTGTTCACATCCTTGGTATCACATTCAAGCTGGAGATAAGTTTCTGACATCTTATGCCATCACCAAGACCATCCGTTTCCACATCTGTAACATTGTGCTATTCTGCCTGGCTCACTCCACCTATTGCTGAAAACCTCATCAGGTCCTTGTCATTGCTTGAATTGATTATTTCAATGCACTCCATGTTGGTTTCTTACATTCTACACAAGCTTTGAGGTCATCCAAAACTTTGCTGCTTGTATTTTAACTCAACATGCCCAGTCCCATTTTGGTTTTATACCTGCACTCGCGGACTGATAGACTCCTATTAAGTAGCATCTTCAGTCAAAAAAATGCATAACGGTTTTCAAATCTTTTCATGACTTTGTACCTCTCTCTGTTGGTAATGTAAGTCCCCCAATCCTTTAAGATATCTGAACTTATCTAATTATGCAAGGCCTTTTGTGCATCCCTCATTTTAATCAATGTGCTTCAGTTGTCGAGGTCTCAATCTCTGCAATGCACTTCCCACAGCTTTCTGCATGTGTACCTTGCTTTCTGATACTCCTTAAAGCCCATCTCTAAGCAAGCGTTTGGTTACTTGCAATTTCTCCTTTTGTAGTTTGATTTTGTGTCCTGCTTTGTTGTCTAGTTGTCTTTGTGAAGACCTCTATAGGAACCGTTTATATAAACACAAGTTGCTACTAGTTTTGGAGCATAGTGGCAGAAAGCAAAATTGGAGTTAGGTGAGAGAGTTAGGACCATTTACTTTAAATTTGAGAGTAATGTTTACCGGGAACATTTTGAATATTTGTATCTTCACTGCTGTACATCCACGTCCATGTTTAAAGCCAGGCAGTATAAAATTCACATTGCGCAGGTACTGAGCAAACAGTACAATCAAAACTATAGTTCTAAGAAAGAAGGAGAAAAGAAGCATTTTACAAATATGGTAAGTATACCAATATTACTTGTGAACACTAAATTATTCATTGCCTGATGTGCTATTGAAGAGGAAGTGGGTTTGAAGTCTCATGCAGGCCAGACTTAGAAGACAGGTTTCCTTCCAGCTAGGTTTTTACAACAATTGATGATAATTTTATGCTTACCATTACTGAAACTAGATTTATATTTGAGATTTATTATCTTAATAGAATTTAAATTCCACCAGCTGCCATCTCGAATTTAAACCACTGTCCTCAGAGAGTTAGCCAATTAGCTGTGTATTACTAGTCTAGTGCCACAATCTTGTCCTGATAAGTCAACAGTAAAGGAATCAATACGAATATATTGTTGTCACCAGACACATTGTGTTCTTCATTGACAAATCTTTTATGAACATGATGCAACGTCAGAAGGAGGTACCGCTGTGTTATCACAGATTTGAAAACCGTGCCAAGTTCATAAACAATTTATTTGAGAAAGAAAACAATGGTTGCTGATTAACACCTTTTGTTAAAAAAAACAGGTATTGAAGAAAGGTAATAAATAAAGGTTGGCTGCAAAATTATATTCCTCTGCAGTTCCTTTGCATGCGTGCTTATTAAAGTGAATGCTGCTGGAATGACATTCTTCCTGTTCTGCAGTCCATGGCATGGTCATGTGTGGTTTATAGCCATACTTTGGCATTTTAGTGAAATTTTAGAATAGCATCTCTTTCATTGCCAATATGAACGTTGCATTATGTGTGAGCCAACTCAAGTGTTAATCAGTGGAGTTTTACAAGACATGGATTTCAATGTTCTTTTTCTAGAGGCTGTAGCATATAATGTGTTTTTTTCTCATGTTAAAATGCCAGATGCATTATGCTCCAGATTATTACAATCAATTATTTTGGTCAGGACAATTGTTGATTATGTAGCGAAGTGAATCAAATATTGTACTCACAACATGGAAATACCCCAGTGTGACCCAGCTCTTTCCCCAGCTGCTTGAAATACAGACAATCCAATCAGGGAGACTGTAGGGGTGACAGTAAGTGGTCCAATGTAACTAAGGAGAGCTCCTGGAAGGCCCACAAAGCCAATCACCACTTCAACCAAACTGGATACTATAATTGCACCTTGTATCTGTATCAAGGAGGGAAAATATGGTCAGCATCGCATGACACGGTTGGCACAAAAATTATAATTTAATACTCAAATAAGATGCTATAACATCAAAATACTTTGTTAAATACACCATAACACCTTATTGCAGTGCGTTGTAACTGACAGATGAAATTATTAGAAATGGTTGATTTTTTAAAGGTACAGTTTTTCTGCTGGTGTTACAATCAATGGAATTTTCCTAGCTCGGGTGGTGTGGGCAAAGATGAGGATTTGGGAGAATGCAGCAAGAGTGGAAAATTGAGATTTAACATCATGAAAAAGGTCTGAAATTCCCATTAAGATTACAACAGTTATATCAGAATTTTGTTAGTGAATAACAAGGAATCAATTTCCAAACATTTGTACCTCATTATTAATTAATCTCACCTCATTTCTATGCAATGCATGATTCCCCTAGATACAGGTGAGCAACTAGACGAATGTCAATTGCTAACTTAAAATTCTGAGCAGCGAAATAAGTTTCTGCTACAGGCCATGACATTGACTCTCATTCCACAGCATGTCGTGGCATAGTCCATGTGCAGCAGCTGCCTTCACTCTCCATCCATGGGAATCAGCACTGGCAAGACACCAACCTCACAATATCTTTATAGCCAAACTCATACTGTATTAGAAGATATTTCAGTGCATGTCTACAGCACTTTAGTATCCATGGACAATTTATGTTGCAATGTTCCCACGGATTGCTGTGTGCACAGGGACACACTCCCATCTTGGGCATCTGTGCAGAATCAAGGCTCCTGGCTTGCATTCTTAGCACTCGTTGACTTTGTGCTTACTTGGATGCTCACAATATTGCATCCTGCCTTGCCTTTTAGCACAGACAGAAAGCCAAGCAGTTTGTCATAGTTTCCCGCAGTGAAAGGGATGGCTATATTACTGTATGGCATAGTGCTACATCAATGTCCTACAATGTCAAGTACCTACAGTATATGCCAGTAGTTTCCATGGCTTCAACTAGATGGCTCTGTCTGTAGGTTGAAGGAGAGTATACTTTAGTTATGTGAAAGAGGACTATAGTCACGTATGAGTGCTGTCAATTTCAAAGGAATTGTCTGATTTCTATCCAGCTGTCTCTCATGGTCATTTGGCATTTAGTGCGGTCAGAGTTTGGAGACCTGTGTCCTTGGAAGCGGGATACTGGGCTACAGTTAGTCCTGTGAGTCAAGTACAACCAATTATGGGGAATGCTGATAAGTCAGCCAGGGAACTGCAGAGACCTCAGTCTGGGCCATCCACACATCCCTGACATTCTGGGAGCTGGATCATGGTCAGTCCTGTGGGGTTTGGGCAATAGACATTAAGGAAGGTTCTTGTGAACTCCATGCTGTGTGAGGAAAGTGGGAAATTCAAGTGTGAGAATTAGAAGTATCACACTGGGACAGAGCGAGTATAATTGTTTGGAAGAGGACAGCTCCAATGTAAAAGGATGGGATCAGATTTAACATGAAGGACACAGGAGACTGGGGAAGGATTTCTTATTGCAAGATGTGAACAAGATTATCTCAAAGCACAATGGAGCCTTGATCAGATGGGCCAATGGGCCAAGGAGTTACAAATGGAGTTTAATTTAGATAAATGTAAGGTGTTACATTTTGTAAGGCAAACCAGGGCAGGGCTTATGGTGTTAATGGTAGTGCACTGGGGGGTGTTGCTGAACAAAGAGACCTTGGGGTGAAGTATTCAGTACAGAGCTGCTCTTGTTCTTCCCCAGGACCAGCAGTTGGGGCCATGGCACCAGACCATGCCAGCCTAGTCCAAGGATGCCACTGAGATTAAAGCACTCTCAGCTGTTTGGAAGAACATATAATACTGTAGGAAGAAGGTCAATGACCTTCTTCACTGCACAGTGTAAAGCCCACTATTTTCTGTTTGCTATGAAACCTCCCCAAAACTCTGTACCAAAACTAACAGCTGTGCTACCTTTTTCATGTCCCTTAATATCTGCCTATCTATTCAGGAAAACAAACCGACCCCCAGGGGCAGAAAGAGCTACGTTGGAAGGTGGGCTGTCCAACACTACACTCATCACCCTTTACATGGGGACGATCCTGACTCTGACATGCTCTAAGTGGCTGACTAACTATGTACAAGTTTATGGACTGGCATTGAATTACCCTCAACTTACTGTGCCTGGACCGTCTGACCAAAGGTTATCTCCCTTGGCTTGACTGAGGCCTTCTGACAACCATGACAAGCTTTCTGGCCTTGTGTCTACATTAAACAGTGATACAAGACAAAAGTAAAATGAGTCTGGTATTGCTGGCTGAGGGGCCAAAGCTCAGAAACAGAAAGGAAAATCTGGGACACTGTGATCATCTAGAAGATCTCAGAGTGAACTCAGATTCTGGAAATGCAGCCTGGTCCAATCCATGAGCTGGGTACATAACTCAAAGTGTGCACTGCCATTGCAGGAGTTTCTCAATGAGTTGTAGGTGCAGCCTGAAGCGCAGCATCAAAGTGCAGAAGTGCCCTGTAAGTCAGAGACGTACTGTGACAGTTGTTAAAGTATGGCACATACGGATGCCAATATCTATGGATGTGGGCTGCCCTGAGATGGTAGTGCCAAATGTATAACATGGAAGTCCTTCAGACCAAGTGGCAAGCTGAATTCGCCAGGTACCTGCTCTGATACCAATGTCGAGCTTTTTCAACATCTAGTTTGTTCGAAGCATTTCTTAAGTGGAAAGCTATATATTAATGAGGCAAGTTGGGCCATCAACAAAGCACCTAAGCAATAATTGTCTTAATTGGTAACTTGCCACTGCCTAGTGAGGAAATCACCACACTGCTTGTTAAAAGTGTAACATGTAGACCGAGCAGATTCTGACATTAAGCAGTCTCACCAGGCTGTTCTGATTCTGGCACAAAACACACCATAGCTCATGTAGCATAGACCCCTATAAGATTCTGCATTTTCATCTTTTTATATCAAAACCATTAAGAAACAGATAAATGCATTCTGTAGAAAAAAATTGACATTAACTGTCAAATAAAAACATCATTTCTCTGCCTGCGAAAATAGCGTAAGAAAATATTACTTCCAAAACTCAGTGGGAGATGGATAGGGAAATGTCTGCACCATTGTACACATCAGAAAATGGTACGGTGGTTAATGTGGCATGGTATAGCAGGTGAAGCAGCTAACATTCTTCACGGCTTAAATGCAAGCATATGTTGTTGACTCAAAAACAATCATGATCTCATACTATTCATAGCAGAATATTTTGGACTGAAGATAATAATTACTTCAGTGGTCATAGCTGTTATATGTGTGGATTCCTTCAACCCAAAGTAATATAGCATGGATGAAGTTAGACAGCATTCTGCTGTAACTAGAAGAGTTTTGCTAACAATCAATGAAGTTTTTTGCATTACTGCAACTATTTACAGACTACAGGAATATGATCTAGCTGACCAGAGAGACTCTTAGGAGCACACCAGTCTCAGGTCTACCTCCTTCGTTACTTTGATGAAGTCCTCATGACATCACATTGGTTGTGCACCCAATCAAGTATCAACCCTCTTAGTCTCTACACAACATTGGCGATCCTTTATCAAATGAGATTGTGAACAATAAAAGCTGGATTTTTATTTGATAGATCAGTTGAACTGAAAGAATATGGAGAACATTTGGTGTAGTAATCTAATCTGCATAAACAGAGGAACCTTGACTACTTGCATTTCAAGATTCATTTAAAAACTTTAAGTTGTTCACTAACATCCATAACACAATGCATGCATTTTTTAAAACATCTGATCTGCATTATATTGATGCATTATTAAAAGCGAAGAGAAATGAGTAGGTGTCATAGGAAATGAAGTTGGTTTATGACTCATCAGGATTTATCCTTCATAGGTTAAGTTATGCTGCAGCTCTATAAAACCCTGGTTAGGCCACACTTGGAATATTGTGTTCAGTTCTGGGTGCCTCATTATAGGAAGGATGTGGAAGCTTTAGAGAGGGTGCAGAGGAGATTTACCATGATGCTGCCTGGACTGGAGGGCAGGTCTTATGAGGAAAGGTTGAGGGAGCTAGGGCTTTTCTCATTGGAGCAAAGAAGGATGAGAGGTGACTTGATAGAGGCGTACAAGATGATGGGAGGCATAGATAGGGTGGATAGTCAGAGAATTTTCCCCAGGGCAGAAATGACTATTATGAGGGAGCATAATTTTAAGGTGATTGGAGGAAGGTATAGCGGTGATGTCAGAGGTAGGTTCTTTACACAGAGTGGTGGATGCATTGAGTGCACTGCCGGTGGTGGTAGTGGAATCAGATACATTAGGGACATTCAAGCGACTGTTGGATAGGCACATGGATGATAGTAAAATGTAGGGTATGCAGGATAGTTTGCTCTTGGAGTAGGATAATAGGTCAGCACAACATCATGGGCCAAAGGGCTTGTACTGTGCTGTACTGTTCTATGTTCTATGACACTTTGTATAATTGTGCTTAAGGTATTAATCAACATTAATTCTGAATAATTGGAGCCAAAAACAGTTCACAGTGATACAAGGCAAAGTAATACCAGCAAGCAACATTGATTTCAATTTGGAATTTAAAAAGTGCTACAAGAAAATCTTTGGAAAAAACCCATGCTTCATAATCTCTATCCTCTTCCATCTTTAGAAATAGTGCAACATGGCTAACATTTTCACATAATCTCCAATGGAACCAACATTTCAAGGTACACCAAGGCTGATCCACGGACAATGGATAAACACTAGTTCAAAATCGCAAGTTTAGTCGAAATTGCCATAAATGGGTGAAGTGAACTGGCGTAGTAATCTTGGGGGTAGATCAATAGAAACGTAATCTCTAACCCTAACCCTATCGCAGACTTCCAAGCAGATAGTTCAGAATACATACAGTAAGAAAAATTTTAATGGGAAGACTCACCATTGTAGTTAACTGGAGAAGTTGGAAAAAGCATTAGACTTAAAGTAAAAGCATTTGACTGTGTAAAATTAATTAACAGGTCAGATGATTGGACAAAATATAAAGAAGAACATAGGATAACTAAAAGGTTAACCAAGAGGAAGAAATATCAGAGTATGGAGAAGACTAGTTAGGAGTGTAAAAATGGATAGCAAGATTTACTACCGGTATTTAAAGGAAAGTAATGAGTTGGTCAGAGTGAGAATGAAGAGTTATTAGTGGATAATAAATAAATGGAAGATGAAATGAACAAATATTTTGCTTGTCTTCATTATAGAGGGTGCAAAAAATCCAGTAATAGCAGTAAATAGTACTCTGTAAATAGTTGCAATAGTGCAACAAACTTCATTGTTTACTTAGCAAAAATCTTCTAGTTTGAGTAGAAAGGTGTCTGACCTCATCCATGCCACATCACTTTAGTTGAAGAAATCCACACATAAAAGAGCTATGACTATTGAAGTAATAGTAATAATAAGGAAGTGGAATGAAGAGAGAAAATTAGTGAAATTACAGTCAGTAAAGAAGTGGTACGAAGCAACTGATGAAGCTACAGGCTGACAAGTCTCAACATCCAGATGGACTTCATCCTAGGATTTTGAATGAGGTAGTTGATGCATTGGTGTTAATTTTCCAAAATTCCACAGATTCAGGACAGGCTCCATTGGACTGTAAAGTTGCAACTAAAGCATTCCTTTCAAGAAGGAAGGGAGGCAGAAAATGGGAAACCATAGTCAGTCATGAGAAAGGTGTTACAATCGATCCTTAAAAGAGGTCATAGCCATATATTGGTAAAACTCAAGATAATCAGCAAGAGTCAGCATGATTTCAATGGGAAATCATTTTTAAGCAATTTACCAGACTTTTTCAAAGGAGTAGCATGAACTGGGGATGAAGGGGAGCCTGTAGACATATCGTACTTTGATTTCCAAAAGGCAGCTGATAAGATGCCGTAAAGACTAAAGCAGAAAATAAAAAGCGCATGCATAGGAGGCAACATATTAGCATGGATAGGTTAGCTTGCTGGCAGGAAACATTACACACAATCAGATCTTTATCTGATTGGAAGGACACAAATTGCAGAGTCCCACAGGTGTCTGTACTGGGCCTCAACATTTTACAATTTACCTCAACAATACAGATGGAGGGGAACAAAGCCATGGTAGATAAACTTACATTCTTTTCTATCCATCTTTATGGTAGAAGAAGACACAAGGACTTTGCAGTTTGGATATGTATAGGTTGAGTGAACAAAATCTGGCAGATGGCATATAATGTAGGAAAATGTGTAGTTGTTACACTTTAGCTAAAAGAAAGTAAAATAGTAGAGCAGATGGAGAATGATGCAGAGCAGAGGGATCTATTCCTATAGCATGAGTCTCAAAGTTGCAGCTACAGCTTGTAATCAAGAAGGTTAATGAATGCTATCCTTTAGTATGAGGAGAATTGAAAATAAAAGCAAGGATTTTATGCTTCAATTATACAGGGCATTGTTCAGACCATGTTTCAAACATTTAGTACGGTTTTGATTTTCTTATTTAAGAAAGATTGTAAATGCAGTTTAGAGGAGATTAGGTAGATTTATATCTGGAACAAGTGGCTTGCCAAGGATAGCTTGTTAACATCAGAATTTAAGAGCATGAGGGGTGACTTGACTGAATTGTATGGAGACCCTGAACTATCTTGACAAAATGGATATGGATAAGTTATTTCCCCTAATGGATGAGTCCAGAACTAGGGGGCACTGTTTTCTAATTTTACGTCACATTTTAGTGTTAAGGTGAGGAAACATTCTCTCTCAAAGCATTTTTACTTTTGCCTCAGAAGGCAGTGGAAACAAGGTCATTGACTTTTTTTTAAAAAGCAGAAGTAGATATAATCTTTCTTGTCAGATAAGCAAAACGGAGGTTATTGTGTTAGATAGGAATGTGGAATTCAAAATGCTAACAGATCAGCCCTGGCAGGCTTGAAGAGCTGAATAATTTACTTTTGCCCCAATTTGTATGTTTATACAACAGATCAATTTTATACGTGCATGCGCATTTTGTTTTTAGTGCAAAGAAATGAAGGTGGAGCAAAGTTTTTTTAAACATAATACACTCCTAGAACTTCATTACTTTAATGTTTAGACTGGTTCCAACTGTTGACATATTGTTTTAAATTTAACAATGACCATCCTGTGTAAAGTCCTTCCAATGGGAAAGGTCAGGTCAGGTGAGTTTTCACTTCCACCTCCAATTATATTCCAAACAAGGTTTGTAACAAAAGCAGGCATGGACCTGAACAAAGGTTGGACTATAAGGGAAAACCAACACTATATCTTGTCATTGTATATCCTAAAAGACTTCTTCTTATTTTAAAAAGTTGCACTTCTGGTGCTTTACTTCTCTGATCCGTGGATACCATATATGAGTAGTGTTGAAAGGCAAGGTCCAGTTTCCATAAATCTCCTCTGTAAAAGTAAAACAAAATACAGAAAGTTAAATTTCAATATGGATTAGTAATTATTTGAATGGAATTTTAATTTAATGGAATGCACCATTTGGAAATGGAGTGGGTCAGGTTCAATTAAAGCATTCAAGACAGCAATGGATGATTATGTGATTAGAAATGGTGTGCAGAGATATAGAAAAGGAAGAATATTGCCACTGGGTAGTAGAAGCAGTGCAGGCACACTAGGCTGAATGGCTTTCTTCTACACCATTATCAAATCAAGGAATTGTAATTGTTAAATAAAGTTAAAAAGTAACTCAACTATAAATGTGTATACCGGAGACAGTAACGCATTTGAAAATCAGTGGTTATTTTTGGCAGTGGTCCATTTTTAAAATACAGCTTTAACTTTGACTAAGAAACGTGATGGATATATATCTGGAAATCACTTTTATAACTTTAAATATTGGAGCCCAAAGACTTTTATATGGAGTGTGAAGGTGATGTAATCCAGACTGCCCTGCCTAAAAGTATGATGGAAGCAGGTTATATCATAACTTTTAAAAACGGAATTGAATGTATTTGAAAACAAAAAACAATTATAGGACATTGGGGCAAGGGCAGAGAGTAATTAGATAGTTTTTCCAAAGAGTTGGAATAAATTCCTAATGCTTCATTTTTCATCCTAAAAGCTAAGTACTTTGGATGCTGGAGATCGGGCATAAAAACTGCAAGTGCTGAATTCAGTAGATCTGGCAGCATCTGGGAAGAGAACAGAATTAAAGTTTCAAGTCCAGTATCTAACATGTCTTCAGAAGTCGGTCATATTGGACTCAAAACATTAACCTTGTTACTCTGTTCACCGCTGGATCTGCTTAGTTCCTCCAGCACTTGTTTTCATTCCCTTTATATATTTGGAATCATGTGGATGTTAATTTCACTGGCTCATGGCATCCCATATTTATACCTGTGTTGCATATTATCTCATACCAAGTTATTAATATCTTACATTTGTAGGAAACATTAAGAGTCTTAGATACCAAATAATCCTATTTGTTCAACATTATATCCTCAAAATCCCAACATAATTCAAAATTTACTTTGAATTGTCAAATATAATACATAATTCAGATGAAAAAATCCCAATGAGGGGATTTGATCACACTATATCCCTGCCACAAGTCTGAAGAGTTAAAGAGACAAGGAAGAGTAATCATAAAAGAGAAGATTGCAAACTCAAAATGCACAAAAATAGATGCAAATTTTTTTCTCAATAGCTAATAAGTGTGTGAACACAAAATCAGTGCAGTCAGTAACTGTGAATGTCATATTAATATTAAAAGGTAGTGCTGGGGAAGAAACAAAATTGCATGGGCATTTAAAGTAAAGTCATTCGTCAAGCCATGAATCTTACTTCAATTCAAACTCGCAACATTTCATGTTAGGGCAATAAGCTATAATTTGAACAGGATTTTACGTGGCAGAAATCTAGTACAACAGAAAACTGCCCTTTTTACCAGTTTAAATTATTTTCTGGGCACATTTCATAAACTACCTCACTGAACATAAAATTTTCTAATTTTATTGATACCAAGATTTGCACCCACCCAATTTAATGCCAAGACCTAAACACTTTGAAATGAAATGCACAGCAATAAAACATCAAATCAAATCAGGTATTAAAGACAACAAGGTGCAGGGCTGGATG